TGCTGCGTGTGGCTGAGGCCCATGGCCGCCAGCACCTCCCTGATGCGCTCCTGGCGCGTGGCCTTGCCCAGCTTGCGCGGCAGCGTCAGCGTGGCGTAGTAGGAGCAGGTCTCCAGCACCGTCATGGTGGGCATGAAGTTGTCGTCCTGCGGGCAGCGTTGAGGAGAGTGAATGCGCCAGCAGCAGTCACCCACAGAATGAATCACAAACGAGTGTTGCGATGTGAAATCCATGTAAAATCACGCGGGGTTTTGAAGGTTGCAGGCGTCCACACCACCCGACGCTGACAAGCGCCAGCGCTCAAGTCGATCGCCGCACCACAAGCTGTACATGGCCCGCGCGCACCTGCGGCACGTATGCCGTCTTGCGTGCAAACTCGTCCTTCTTGCGGGGCAGGCTGTTGACCAGCACGCTGCCGGTCAGGTTGCCCACGCTCTTGCGCCCAGCCAGGATGTCCATCAACGTCGACTTGCCCGCGCCGGACGGTCCCATCAGGGCCAGCATGTCGCCGGGCTCCGCCTTGCCGTACACGGACTGCGCGACAGCAGGGACCCCAGTTGCAACAAGGGTCAAACGGGTTGCGCACGACCGTCGCCGGTGTGCGATACATGTCGCTACCCTAAGCCGCAATATGCAGTCAGGGAGTTGCGAGAGGTGCAGCTGCCCATGCATGGGAATCCCACAGGCAGGCGAGGCAAACACTGTGCACAGTACCCAGGCATGCTTGCTGCACCAGACAACACACTTGTAGACCCCCAAAACCACCTGCCAACCCACCCCATCCCGAACGTAAAACAGCTGCCATGTCGGTTTGCAGGACACTGTTATGACACGCACATGACGCTCGATACCAGCGCCGTCAAACCCACCTTGAGCACCGTCCTCATGCCCGTGCTGGTGTTGTAGCTGCAGCCGATGTCCTTCCACTCCATGCTCATGGGCCGGATCATGGTGCTCAGCCGGCGCATCAGCAGCTGGCTGCGCTCGGAGGGCACGCCAGTGGCGGCGCCGTTGCCTGAAGCTGTTGACGGCAGCAGGCGCATGCAGCATGCAGCGCAGCGGCAACAGGAGCAACAGTGCAAGCAGGCAGGGTAAATTTTATTTCCTGAGGCACAGGAATCGCCCAAGCATGGAAAGGCAAGCTGCTCCATGCGCATGGGATTGCAGCCACAGCATGGCTAAGCACTGACAGGCACCAACACAGAGCGGCAAGCAGCAACAGGCGTGCCCACGCCACGTCATTCTTGCAAGCCACCTCACTCTGCTGCAGGAAATACTATGCACAGCTCTGCAAGGTCATGCACAGAGGCGTCTGTTACGATGTCGCTCCCACACTTTGCTCACACGCCCGTCATCGTTACATGCAGTGTTGCACTGTCACTCAGCTGCCAGCGCATACGCAGCATAGCCCTGAACCCCACCTGAGTTGTCAGGCAGGCCCGCCTCCTCGTCGTCAGCGTCATAGTACGTTGTTGTTGACCGCCCCATGTTGGCGTCCTTGGCAGCGGCAGCGGCAGCAGCAGCAGCAGCAGCGGCGGCCCCCTTGGACTGGTCTGGGCTTCTGGCAGTGTCAAAGCGCACGTTGTGAGTGGCAGCTGCCTTGGGGCTCACTGCAGAAAGGCAACAGGACACGCAGGAGAAAAGAAGGGGAGAGGATGTTACAGGTCGTTGGCAGATGGTGCGTGTGCGCGTGCAAAGCATGCTGCTGGCTGCACTCCATGCAGGCCCCGACACAGCAGCCTCAATGCCATCAAACACATCTGGCTGCCCATCCCAAAACTGCAGGGTGCTCGCCTGTCCTGGCATGCCAACCGCAAGCACGCAATCGATATCCAAGGTTATCTGCTGCGACAGCTGCATGCATCATGGAGTGGTGCACATCAGGGAGCCCATTGCAATACTTGCTGCCTTCTGCATGTACCCCTTCCCATCGCAAAGCCTGATAAAGGCCACAAAGCTAATCCTTGCCTGTGCAACCTGACGTTTCTGCATGCACGTATGTGCCGCTGCTGTGGCTGCTGCTGCTGTTGGTCCTGCTGCTGGACTTCCAGACGGTAGCCAGCCTGGTCACCTGAAACCTCGGTAAAGCGCCCTGCATGCACGCTGCCCTTGTGCTGTCCTTCCTGCAAGCCCTGCTTCCCTGCAAGCGTCTAGAGAGCGATGCACCCGCTCACCTGGCTTCGGTGTGTGCTTCTGCTGTGTGCTTTTGCTGCTGCCGCAGCATATCTTGCGTTTGAAGTCAGCCCATGCCTTGGGGAACATCACCAGCAGCATGCGCAGCATGAAGTAGCCGGCAAACACATGTGCAAACACCACGCATGGAATCCACATGGCGTGGATGGTGCCCCCCTCCGGAGCTGTTGCTGTGTTGGTTGCATTGGTTGCATTGGCCGACATTGTGGATGCTGTTGCTGCTGCCAGTCCCTGACAGGGGTTGCCGGCCTTGGTCACAACTAGCTGGCGTTCTGCGCGCTTCTGAAGGCTGTCTCAGCTGTCTTTGAACGATGCTAAGCTGAAGCAGGCGCGATGAGCTGTGATTGGGCCCTGGAAGGTCAAGCACCCTTGGAGCAGTGCTGCTGCAGGGCACGCTCTCGGACCTGCGCGTTCTATCAGCAGGCCGACATCACAAAATAACAAGCCTCAAGTCCGTAGAGCAGCTGCGACGGTATATCTCGGGGCTGCCACTGGCACTGGGCACTTGGCGTGCATGCACACCCAGGTAGTAGTGAGCTTGCCAAGGCCTGTTTAGAAAACACGCAAAAGTAGTCTATACATGCCCTGGAAGATCGATTCTGAAAGCTCGTGTGTATGTGGAGCCGAGCGCGGAAGTGTGTCACCGGCCCATAATTTGGCACTTCCACCAGCAATCAATACAGAGTCGACACAAACAGGTCCCGGAATGAACTGGGCTGATGCCGGCCCAAAAGTTTGCCCCGATCATCCCACCGGGGCAGTCCGATGAGCAGTCAGTTGTCGCCGGACAACAACATGTCCTTGGCCGCCAGCTAATCCCCCGGACAAATCTAAACAGCAATCGCAGCTTGGCGAAATTGTTTTGATAGATTCCTCAACTTCCTTCTCCTGTTTCACCCAAAGCTCGGTGAATCACCTGTGGTGATGTAGACGTTCTCGCAAGCATTTCACTGCAACTGCCCATTGCGAGTTTTTGTGTGCTTGCACATTCAAGTACACAGCATTTTACACGAGGATGCTATTCATCCCTGCTGACCAGCCCACCCACTGGGCCAGCCAGACGCAGCACCTTCCTCATTGAGCAAACGCCGAGAGACGCTGCGAGTATGGCCGGGGTCGCTTATTTATTTAGTGTTGCTGGACCGTGGCTCCGCACATCACACGCATCAACAGCACGATCCCAGGCCACATGCAGCCCTCTGCAGAGAGACAGCTGTAAACTGAGCACCAGTGCTACACCGTGCTGCATCAGCAGTGCCTGGAGCGGGCCTGGCCTGGAGGCTACCAGCTAGTAGCAGGGCATGCAGCAGATCTGCTGTGACGCACAGCTGGCAGCGCAAACCTGGAGCACTGCTGGTCGCAGCGGGTGACATCTGTCACCAAATGGGCTGCAGTGTGCTGCTGGGCACCAGCTCAGGTGAGAGCAGCCTTGGCATCATCATCATCATCATCATCATCATCATCACACAGAGATGCTTTCCTCCCATTTTGGCGGCATTCTGACGACCTTGGTTTTTAATAGACATACAGACCACTGTGAACACCCCATGACACTGTCTTTTCGCATGCACGCATGCAACTGGCAGCAAATGCATTCCAAATCCACAGCAGCCGGCAGTTGTGACACTGTCACTCAGCATTGCAACTAGCTCCCTGCCGGTGCTGCACTGGAGTGCAAGGCACACATTTTGCTATCTTTCTTCACTGTAGCATGGGCTGCGGATGTCATCACCTGCTTCTTCTATTACTCCACGACCAGGCTAAACTGGTGTAAAAGATGGAGGTAAATACAAGTAAGTCGCCGCTGGGCTCCAGGCGAATGCACAGCTGCGCACCTTGAGCAATGCTGGTGTCCAAGCTACGCGCTGTAAGCAAGGTGGATAGGTTTGTTATGTGATGTTCATTTGCTGGCTGGTTGATGCAGGCAGGGAGAGGGCAGTGTCAGCGCTCAGTCTTGGCTGACGGATGCGCCAGCTGTATTTTGGGAGCTTGACAAACTGTGTTTCCAGACGCTGTGTCATTATCAGTGTTTCGTTACAAAGCATGCGTCCATTGCAGTGTAGCCGCGTAACCATGCAACTGCGCTTCTTCTAGCTGTAGCACAGACTCGTAAGATTACTCTTGCAAAGCTGCTCAAGCATCTCTCGTGCAATGCTGCAGCCTCGCAACCCCTGTTCGTCTCTGCTGCAGCTGCCCCACCTTCCCTTCTGCATCAATGCAGCGACGCGTGCACCCTGCATCGCTCCAAGCAGCGGTGACAGTATAGTCTTGGACAGGATAGGGCAGCTGTGTGGCCGCAGCTGTGGCTTCCTACTGCACAGCAGGCAAGCACCTGCGTGCACTGGACTGTCGTGCATAACACTGTGCAGGTTGCTGCACTGCACTGTAGATGCGCCACTCGTGTGTGACACCAGCTGCCTGCTGCCGGATGCCGCTGCCAGCAGTGCCGATGTCTGCACACCTGCGTGGAACACGCCTCAAACCTCGTGGCTGGAGGACTGGCGTAACAACAATGCCATCTGGTGCACCCTGTTGACCTGTTGCAATGTGTCAATGTTTTTCACTGTGGTACAATTTTGAATCTGAATATTATTAACCTGGGTCATGTTTCGGGTGTCGAAAATGGCAGGCAATTTGCCATGGTGTTGGGCTGGCCAGTTTTTGCTTCTGCTTGGGACCATGCTGCACAACTGCATGCAGCAAAAGAACTCTCCTTGCCCCTGCTCGTCACATTCAGGAACTTGTAGCTGTGCTGTTGGCATCATGCCAACTGCAGATGAGCATGCTGGGAGCAGCTCAGTGCACCTCTCCACCTACCAGGTTCGAACTGGTGACCTCACGGTTAACAGCCGTGCGCTCCAACCAGCTGAGCTAAGGTGGAAGCATGTGAGGGTGAGTCTCGCAACTGGCTGGTTGGCGCAGGGAGGGCAGGGAGCAGCAATTCTGCGGCTGCTGGGCTTGCAGCATCTCGTCACTCGCGTCTCAATCCTCAATCAATCGCGTCCTTTGCTCTGCTGCAGCAGCAGGTAGCAGCCGCAGTGGAGCAGCTTGGGAACTTGCGTGCAGCTGCCAGTCAGCAACAGGCCGATGCTGGTGTGGCAGCAGTAGCAGCAGCCAGAGGCGCATCGAGGGACGCACAAACAGCAGCTTGGGCCAACAGCTCCAGGGCGCAGCGGCAGGCTTGGCTACATCATGGAGGGCAGCCTAGTCCACACATTACCAGTCAGCTGGCAGCAGTGCAGCGGGGGGGGGGGGGGGTCAATCTCGCAGAGTGATTGCCCTGCGCTCTGCCGCCGGCAACTTTGTATGGGAGGGGGCTGGGCCTGCCTCAGTTGCAATTGCACAGTGGGCAGGGGTCAGCAGGCAGCCGCAAGTGGATGCAACAGCGCAGGCCGAAGTACTGGCAGCAGTGCGCAGCCACCCCCGGCAGCCTGCAGATGCTGACGGCAGTTCTGATGTGACAACAGCAGAGGTCAAACAGGCGCTTGCGGCATGCAAGCCAGCGTCATCGCCGGGGTTGGATGGGTTGCCAGAAGTGTTTTACAAGCATTGCCAGGACCTTCTGATTCCTGTTTTGGCCCAGGTTTTCAGTGTTGTTGGTGCTCTGGCCGCCACCCCCTTGGGGTTCTTGGATGGGGTGATTGTGGGGATCTTCAAACCTGGCGACACTACCTTGGCTGCTAACTACCGACCTATCACGCTGTTGAACTTGGATTACCGTATACTTGCGCAAATCCTTGCGAATAGGCTGCAGGTGGTGTTGGGTGGTGCTATTGCCCCCACTCAGACAGCATTTTTCTAAGAGCAGGCGGATCGGGCACAACATCTCCACTGTCCAGCTGCTGATGCATGCCGTGCCCAGCGATAGTGGTGTGGTGGCGGCCTTGTTGGACTTTGCGAAAGCATATGACACCATTGACAGGCAACTTTTGCTGGATACTATTGTGTGCAATGGGTGTGGGTGCCAGATGTTGCTCCTGGGCTAAAACATTGCTGACTGCCACACGTGCTTGTGGCTTGATTGATGGATTCAGGTCAGAGCAGTGGGTGTTCAAAGCCGGTGTGCGACAGGGGTGCCCGTTGCTGCCGCTTCTTTACCTGTTTTGTTGGTGAAGCATTGCTCCGTTTCCTGATGTCCAAGGGGGTTGGCGTACGCCAACCCCCTTGGACATCAGGAAACGGAGCAATGCTTCACCAACAAAACAGGTAAAGAAGCGGCACAGTGCTCGGCCACCGCATGTGTGTTACACAGTTTGCGGACGACACTCAGGTGTACCTGCCTTCAGTGGATGCTGTGCAACCGTGTTTGGTTCACATGCAGCGCATGGCTGCTGCATCCGGCCAGCACCTCAACCTCCAAAAGACAAAACGTCTTCTAGTTGGGCGAGCAGTGCGCATGCAGTTCCAGCAGCAGCAACAGCAGCAACAGCAGCAGCAGCAGCAACAACAACAGCAGCCTGCGCCAATGGCCTCGAAGCTTACTCCAACCTTGCAGGCTAATGTGCTGGGGGTTTTTGTTGGGGCATCTTCCCCTCTCAGTTGGGAGGAGAAAGTGCAGGGAGTGGAAGCAGCCTTGACTAGGTTGTCCCGTGTAAAGGCGTGTCCATTTTTTGCAGGGGTATGGGCAGTGCATCATACGGGGTTAGCAAACTCTTGTATGCTGCAGAGTTTTCAGACCTGCCTTCCGCGCAACAGTGTCAGCATCTGTAGGCCAAGTTGGTTGACAGGGGGTTGGCACCCTCGGATGTCACTAGAAAGTGCACCGGCATTCCTGCGCGACTTCTTTTTGGCAGACCAGCCGATGGTGGCTTTGATGTGTTGCCTTGGTATGAGCATATGATTGCTCCGCATGCGTGGTGCGGGGCATTCTTTGCTACTGCGCCTCATGATACAGACATTCCATGGGTCAACATTGGCAGAGCTTGCCTGCGCTCCAAGTGTTGTTGGTGGGGCCCTCTGGCTCTTTTTTACTTCGCGGCTGACACCCAGTCACCAGCTGAGTGGGCTGGGGTGCCACCGCCACCTTTGCGCCGCATGATCTTTTGGCTGCAAGCACTGGGGGATGTCTGTGATGTGCAGCAGCAGCAGCAGCAGCAGCAGCAGCAGCAACCGCAACAACAACAGCAACAGCAGCAGCAAGCGCTGCCGCTACAGCAGCAGCAACCGCTGCCACAACAGCAGCAACAACAGCAGCAGCAGCTGCAACAGCAGCAGCCGCCGCCATTGCAGACGCAGCCGCCCCTGCCTTCCGGGCAGCAGTCCCCAGGTTTGGATCAATTGCGTCAGCAGATGGCTGACCTTTCAAGTGCCCTGGTTCTACAGCCTGGACCTTCATCATCATCATATTACCCATTCAAGCCATAGCAACAGCCTGGACCTTGGTGTGCTTTTGCCCCTGTTTTTGCCAGTTGTTTCCTGCTTGGGGGTATCCCTGGTGCTAGGCCGGGTGGGTTGCATGTGTTGGCTGATCCGCCGGCTAGAGGTGCATTCTACTACACAGGCGGGAAGGTCAGGCCCATGATCCATACACTTGGGGATCTGTGTAGGTCTCATCGTGTGATTGAACGTGTGGTACAAGCCAAACTGCCCCACCCTCTGATCCCTTGCAACAGCAGCAATGCTGAGGGCGAGTTTGATGACCTCAACTTGCTGCTGTATAATGTGCTTCTTGCATGGACACAAGCTGCTGCAAGCGAGGCAGCCAGAGCAGGGTGGCCTGCTGTTCTGCCTTCCGCTCCTGCAGTACCTTCTGAGGCAGATCAACTTGTTGAATGCATGCTGGTTTCACGGCTTGGCTGGTATTTGTTGCCTGCAGGCAAGCCTTGCTCCATCCGGAGGCTGTCAGCAAAGACAGCTACTGCCCTGCAACTGCGTAATTTGCATGTTGAGCAGCAAACTCGGCAATGTCAGTTTGTGGTACTTGCACACAATAAGTCGAGTTCAGCAGTGGTTAGGGATGGAGTTGGTAGTGTGACCGCTGCACAACCTAAAGTTTGGAAGTTGCACTGGGATAACCAGTTTACAGAGGTGTTGTGGCGTGTGGTGTTGAATGGTGTGCCTACTGCTGCTCGCATGCCGAGCGTGCAGCGTGCTTGCTTGTGTGGTGCCTGCATGCCTGTGTATGACCACCATTACTGGCACTGCCCTGTTGCACAAGCGTTAGTGCAGTCCAAAGTGGATAATATACCTGCAGCATGGTGCACTCGCAGGCCTGGATCCTCAGCTTTAGAAATGCAGCATGTTTGGCTCATGCAACCGCCGGGTGGTGGGCGGGGTGTGATCACGTGCGTCATCATCATCATATTACCCATTCAAGCCATAGCATCAGCGCCATCGGCCCCGCTCACGTGCGTGTGGCTTGTCGTGTGTTTGGCTGCCTTCAATGCTATGGATGTTGGTAGGAGGGCAGCAAACCTTCAGCATGTGCTAAATAGGCAGCATGATTTGGCTGCCGGTCCAGCAGGTGGCCCTGCCAGGGCACCACCTGCTGACCAGCAGCTTATCACTCAGTTGTTGCAGCCTTCTACTGCCTTTGTTGCGCAGCTGGCTCACAGTGAGGCAGTGAGGCAGCACAGAGAGCAGCGGCAGCTACAGCTTCAGCAGCAGCGACAGCAGGAGCTTGCTGGGCTGGTGCAGACGAAGAAGAAGGAGGCGGTGGCTAGGTTTTGGGAGTTGCTGATTGACTTCATAGTAATCAAGGCGGCACCCTTGGCCTGGCTGGAGACTGTGCCAGCTGATCACCCCTTTCTACGCGTGGTTGACGGCCGGCTGCAGCTGGCACCAAGAAGGGACTTGGCCGCTGCTCTGCCATAGCGTGGATTGGGGTTCTTTCTTGCATCCTCTGTTCCTTTATCCATTCTGCTACATGTGGTTGCATGTCTTGTGTTGTTAGTACTCTCATATGCATGCAGCCTGTGTCAGCCAGTAGGTGTGTTGGGCCGGTGCCATTGCCTGGGGTGTGGCCTTGCCAGACACATTAGTAGGGTGGCAGGTGCCTGTGGTGCCACGGCGCTGCGGGTTATGCTGTTGCTTTGTGCGCGTCCTAGTAGCCGAGAGTTTTGATCATGTTGATCATCATGTTGTACAATTTCTTCAACACCTGAAGCAGGAGCACCGAGGTGCCCAGTACCTGCTAGCGCTAGTTGTTGCCATGTCTGCCTGTTCCATTCCTATTTCGCTGACGTTGACACCTTTTGTTCCGTCCTGATGCTCCTTCTCTGAGCAGAGTTTGCTTTATTTTGGGTGAGGAAGCTGCAAATTGCTTCTCCGAGTTTATTCTCGTGTCCTGCACGCTGCAGTCCTCGAAGTGTTCCGTTTCCGACGTGCACACCCATGTAACTCTCCTCAATCAATCGCTCAGTGTTGGTCAGGTGTGGCTCTGTGTGGGCTGTTGCTTGCATGCCCGTCCACTGGTCAAGCGGCAGGGCAAGGCTTGCCCTTGCCTCACAGTCGCCGCACCCGGTGGCGCGCTCGCTGCCGTACGCTGCCTCTCCTGCTGCTGCAGGTGTGCCCGTTGGCCTGCGACAGGAGGCCGCCCGACCGCCACCACGGAGGGCATGTTTAAGTTCCTGGCGACCATGCAGCGGACCCTCACCTGTTCTTGACCTTCAGCACGTTGTGAGGCTTGACATCTAGATGCACATATCTCTTCGCATGCATGTGTTCTAGCGCCTCCAGCACGTGAAGCATCACGCGCCACGTCTCGTACGGTGGCAGCGGCATAGGCCCGCCAGGCTGTTTGTGCAGCACGCTCCAGACATCGCCACGATCAGCATACTCCATCAAGATCAGGGCAGCGCTGGTGCCGACTTTTTTTGCTTTTTCATATGCTGATGCTGCCAGCGTTGCTGCAATGACTTTCCTCTGCTGCTGCAACACCTG